AGGGAGGGAGGGAGGGAGGGGTCAAAAGGCCTCACATATGCTCTGCCTAAAGCTTGAACTTTCTAAAAACAAAACTCCAGTTTCATGTGAGTTAAAATGACAGGGCTCAGCCCTGCTTTTAAGTCTGAGTTTTGCATCCTAGGTGATGGTGTTTCATTTTGTATGCCCGTGTTTAAGAAACCCATTAGGGGCGCAGTCATTATATGAACATGCAGAAAGAGTCCAGCCACACGCTATGACTGAGAAATGCAGAAAATTGGGTGCTCCAGCAAGCCAAGTCGGAAATTAATAATATATTTAGAATTACTTATAAAATGCCTGTCAAGCAAATGACAATACAGGCAAAAATAAAAATATGATTCCTGCCTGTAGCATGAATCCTGTACTCTGCCTGAGTGTTATGCTCTGTATTCTTGGAACTTAGAATGATTTCAATCCCAGCGGAAATTTCTGTTCCTGTCATTGTCCCCTCCCTCTAGACCATTTCATTCACTTGTGTATTTTTTACACCCCTTCCCCCCACCCTGTAGCTCCACCAACCCTCCCAGACGGCTGTGGGTCAAGCAGGCTCCCAAGGAAATCTTCTACACCTGGCTCACAGCCAAGCAGCCATGTCTCAAAGTCCGGTGCGGCAGGCTTCCTCCTCTTCCTCCTCATCCTCCTCTTCTTCAGCTTTGAGCGTGGGCCAGTTGGTCAGCAGTAAGTATCCTTTCTGGCTCCATTTAAATCATGCTCTCTCTCGCTCTCTCTGTGTCTCTCGTGTGTCTCTGTCTCTCTGTCTCTCTTTGTCTTTCTCTAAGGTCTCCCCCCCCTCTCTCTCTCTTGCTCGCTCTCGCTCTCGCTCTCTCTCTCTCTCAAATTGTCTAGTGTTCCTGGACCAGTTTTAGGGTGAAGTTCATAAAGTCCATGTCCAGATGGTTTCTTTCGAACATCCTGGATTCGTTCAAGCTAGGGCCAGCCCCCACCCCTACTTATAAGGGGTTCCTGATGTGCTGATTCAGACCTGCCACTTTCCACTGGCAGGGCAGGAGAGATAGCTCAAGGCTGAAATAAGCCGCAACAGGAACTCAGCTGGCTGGCAGCAGGTCAAGATGCTTTTCTGTGTGCTGAAGCCCCCCACTGCTCTGTTTGTAGGTGTCAGGGGAGGAACATGCCTGTGGGCTGTGGGCTAGTGGGTATGGTGCACAATGATCTGCCTCCTGGCTGGCGTGGGGGCCACTGCCTGGGCTGGATTCAGATGGAGGGTCTGGGAAAGGACCATTCACAAAAAGAAACAAACCTGCCAGTTTCTTCCCCCTCCCCGCCCAGTGCCCCTCCAACTCCCTGAGTAAATCAGATACTTCATATGTACATGTTTTAGAAATGAGATTTTTTTTTATCCTTGGCAAAGACACAATTTGTCATGTGCAAATACTACCACATTAAGATGAATATGACAATAGACTGATTTAAATGTCAGTTATTCAACTTAAGGCAATTCTTGCTTATTTGTAAAAACTGAAGAATATAGCTGGGCACAGGTGGCTCACACCTATAATCCTAGCTACCCAGGAGGCTGAGATCTGAGGATCGCAGTTCAAAGCCAGCCCAGGCAGGAACATTGGTGAGACTCTGGTCTCCAATTAACCACCAGAAAACCAGAAGTGGCACTGTGGCTCAAGTGGTAGAGTTCTCACCTTGAGCTGAGGAGCTCAGAGACACCACCCAAGCCCAGAGTTCAAGCCCCATGACCAAAAAAAAAAAAAACTGAAAAACATGTATGTAGATCCCAATTTACCAGGAACCCAAAAATTCCAATAGTTGTGAGTCTAAACAGCTAAACTAGGTATCTATAGCTAGCTAGGCATCAGTGGCTCACATCTGTAATCCTAACTATTCAGGAAGCTGAAATCAGAGGATCATGGTTCAAAGCCAGCCCAGGCAAGAAAATCCATAAGACTTTTATCTCCAATTAACTGCCAAAAAGCCAGAACTGAAGCTGTAGCTCAAGTGGAAGAGTGCTAGTTTTGAGCAAAAAAAGCTAAGGAACAGTGTCCAGTCTCTGAGTTTAAACCCCAGAACTGGCCCAAAAAAAGACAAAAGAAAAAAAAAAAGCTAAAACTCTGATAAGGCATCAGTGCCATTAAATGAGGGTGCGTGAGTATGCTCAAGGACAAGAGTGACCTTGAATAACAGAAGCCAAAGGAGTCTCACATAGCATGGCAAACCTGGAAACACAAGGTCACTCCCCCCAAAGAAATAGCTATTCAATTATATAAATAATTAGCACTAGAAAGATGCTGGCAGGTAGGGACAAAATGGTACCAAGGCATAATGGGGAGCTGTTGAAATGTCCAGGTCCTGTAGTAGACTGACCTGGATGCTCTTGACCTTGAAGATGGGTGAATGCTTGGGGGTTTCGGGGTTCCTAGGAGTTACCCATCTGCCAGATATTTTAGGTCATGTAAATATGTAATCTCTCTCCCTCAGTAGACACTATGTTGAAAATGAATTATATAACTTGTGGGCAGGCATGGGAAGGAAAAACTGGGAGAGAGCGAAGGGAAGGGTGACATTATCCAAAAAGAAATGTATTTCTTACCTGACTTATGAAATAGTAACCCCTCTGTACATCACCTTTATAGTAACAATTTTTAAGTAATTAAAAAAATTTTAAATATATATAATTTCTCTCCACTTGGGGGGGGGAACCTTTGTCTAACTGGAATAAAAACATGGGTAGGGCTGGGAATGGTAGAGTGCTTGCCTAGCATGCATGAAGTTCTGGGTTCGATTCCTCAGTACCACATACACAGAAAAAGCCAGAAGTGGCACTGTGGCTCAAGTGCAGAGTGCTAGTCTTGAGGAAAAGAAGCTGAGGGACAGTGCTTAGGCCCTGAGTTCAAGCCCCAGGACTGGCAAAAAAAAAAAAAAGGATAAAATTAATTTACTTATATTTGCATTTTCCCCAATAAAGAAACCCCTCTTAGGGTTTTAAGAGACAATGATTCAAACTTTGATCTAATTTAATATTCTGTATGAAGTCTCTGAAAACATTACATTTCTAAATGCCAGCAATATCCTAAATTTAGGATGACTGCTACATGGTCTGGAAAGGAAAGAGAGCAAAGTCAAAGTAATAAGTTAAATATGAAATAAAGATACAATAACTCCACAAATAGAATACATAGGTTGAACATGCAATTAAAAAAAAATATAAAGCCAAGCTCCAGTTGTTCACACCTGTAATCCTAGCTACTCAAGAAGTTGAGATCTGAGAATTAAGGTTTGAAGCCAGCCCAGATAGGAAAATCAGTGAGACTCTTATCTCCAATTAACCAGCAAAAGCTGGAAGTGGAGCTGTGACTCAAATGGTAGAGCACTAGCCTTGAGCAAAAACAGCCAAACAAGAGTGTGAGTCCCTGCGCTCAAGCCCCAGTACTGGCACCAAAACAAAAAAGTAATAAAACTACTCAGTACATGTTAGATAGAGAGATCGATGCATGGACAGACAGACAGATGAGTTTTCTCTGATCATTTGTCACAAGTTAGACAAGAAAGCATTAACCCTTTAGTCTTTTCACAATTCAGAAGTAGAGCCACTTACTGCACCAAATAGAATGTCAATGGCATCCTAACTTATGGGAAATCTACATTCCAATATACAAAGATTGGGAGGGGAAAGTTCCTTTACCTCATGCCTTGGAAACATGACACCAGTCACATTCAGAGCCTGGCTTCTCCTAGCCCACACTGGCTCTCCATCCTTTTGTGGAAGGGACCCAGCACTGCTACCCATCAGACTCTACCTCTCTCTCTCTCTCTCTCAACCTCTCTCAACCTCTCTCTCTCTCTCTCTCTCTCTCTCTCTCTCTCTGAAAACCCAACTACAGAATCAATGTCTGATTTATGTATTTATGGATCATATCCCTTTGAGTCAATACTTTGCTATAATGGTTTTCAGGACTCAAGGAAACGTGTCTCCCCATTTATGGTAAAGGATTCAAGGACAGTGAGAGGAAGAAGAATGCAGGATGTGGTATGGGATGGTCCTATGCGCAGGAACATCTGTCCCCATGGAGTTGGGGTGTGTGGCCTTCACAGCACATCAATGTGTTTAGGAGCTCTGGAAAATCCTATAGGTCAGGGATTTTGGTGGAACATTCATTTCATAGGCATGATCGATTGTTAACTCAGCCACCGGGTTGTTTTTTATCACAGCTTGGTCTATCCCCCATTTGGGGGGCTCTCAAGGAGCCCCCCAGAATTGCTTCCCTGGGACATAAGATGCTCTTGCCATCCAAAGCCCAAAGGGTTTTGGTGCTTTCTTATCAGGAACAGCAAAACCCAAATACTGGGACAAAAGATATTCTTAGCATCCCTGTTGCTTAGGATATTATAAAACAGGGTGCGTGCGTGTGTGTGTGTGTGTGTGTGTGTGTGTGTGTGTGTGTGTGTTTGTGCGCGCGCGCAGCAATCCTGAGGCTTGAACTTAGGGCCTGGCTGCTGTCCCTGAGCTTCTTTTGCTCACGATTAGCACTCTGCCACTTGAGCCACAGTGCCACTTCCAGCTTTTTGAGGGTAATTAATTGGAGATAAGAGTCTCACGGATTTTTCCTTTCCTGGGCTGGCTTCAATCCACAACCCTCAGATCACAGCCTCTTGGGTAGCTAGGATTACAGGTGAGAGCCACCAGCTCACAGCTTATTATAAGAATTTTAAGAGCACCAGGAACCAAGATTTTAAAAAAATTCTTGTTAAATTACAACATCACAGAACCTCTCATCAAAACCAATAGGCAATGAGTCTTCACCCTCATGTTGGTGAATCTGCCACATGACAACAAGTAGCTTCTATGCCTCTTGCCCATTCCAGGCAAAGGAATGGCAAATTCATGCTGTAGCAACAGATCTTCCCACATGAAGAGCACAGCATTTGTGGGCTCCTGCTAGAATAAGCATCTGGGTGAGAACATACCTTGTCCTGGGCTAAACCCTGCTCAGTCTCCATGGCTACCATCAGTACACACAGTTTCTATAGCCTGGGTTTTTAAATATCTAAAAGAAATATCAGGCAAATAAATGCTCCAAATTGAAGGTTAAGATTCTACAGTGTAGTTTTTAATGGATTAGCAGGAGGTGGGGGCTTGCTGAGTTTGGGGTGTTTATTGTTTTTGTTGTTGTTTTCTTCCAGCACTGTCCCTGAGCTTCTTTTGCTCAAGGCTATAGAATGATACCATTTGAGCCACAGCTCTATTTCTGGCTTTTGAGTCATTTATTGGAGATAAAGAATCTCACAGACTTTCCTGCCCGGGCTGGCTTGGAACCGCAATCCTCAAATCTCGGTAGCTAGGATTACAAATGTGAGCCACTGGTGCCTGGCTGGTGTTTTATTTTTAAGTACACTTTTTTTTTCATAAACCTCTGACTTTAAGCTAAACCCTTAGAAAACAAAGAACTACTACCTAGACTCAGAAAACCAAACCTAGAACATAAACACACAGTAATGGCGTATAGCATAATAAAACCCCTAATTTGTAATTCAGGCCATTTTCCAAGACCCAGTGAAGTCATCACATTGCAAGCAGGCTCTTCTCCCACATTCCATCACACATTTCGAGTGGTTTCCTACCCTTCAGAAATACTCGGAAGTATACCCATCATTTGCTTTGAGACTAGCACTACAAGCAGACAGTACTTATGAAAGGTATTTAATTCACA